TGCCTGAGCATGTCAAATAACGGATGATTACTACAAGCTCAGGTTTCACGGCGTAATACACTGCCCCTTGCTGTTGCTCGTAGTTGCCAAAGGGGCTGTTTAAGCAGGCCGCGGTTTCATAATATACAGCACTGTAACGAAGTAGTGTATGAAAATAAAAGAAAATTGGCATACGAAAGGAAGTGCACTAGATTTTGAAAGAGAACAAAAGGAGCAGAAACAAAGAGAAAACTTAAAATAAAAGGGGAACAATTTAAGCAGAAGGATGGAAATCAGGTATTGCAACGTAAATTTTTAAGAATGAAATTCCTACTGGACGAGATGTGTTTTAAACTAACTCCATCGTTGATGCAAACCTCAGCAAAAACTTGGATGATGCCGGATTGGCGTTTCATTTCGTAAAAAATCCAGTTAGGCCGGTAGTCTGTTGCCAAGTGTTCATCGTACAAGACTTTACATCAAGTGATACGTTTCTTGCAGAATAGCTTTAATGTGGCATTATTTCGATAAGGAAAGATGAATGGAGATAAGTGCGTGTTAAATAATAAATTGTGTATATTACGTTGAGGCGAAGGGGCTGTGTGTTATGACTTTGTGGATATAATAGATGGTACTGAATAGTAGTCTGATTTTTTAGACCAACCATTATTTCGAGTATCAGTTCTGAATAATGCATTTTGTTTGTTAAACAACAAGCAGTATGTGAAAGTTCACTGTTTTAGGGTATCATTTGTGCGGAAAAGTGCGTTCATTGTCGGTCATCGATGGCGAACGCCAGCTATTCCGAATATCCATGTCGTTCGAAAGGTACTCGCAATCGTTGTGACGTTTGTCAGCGTGTCGCGATTGGTTTACGGTCCTTTTGTAGATGTAAAATTACGTCAATTCGGTGCAGCTGCGACAGCAAAGACATATACTGGTGCCAGCACGTCGTTGCCTTAACGTTGTTCAGAATTCGCCAGCCGGAATCGGTGGTACTCAGGTTACCCATTTCAGGTAGGAGAAACAACTGTTTTCTAGTGACCGACCGAATAACGTGAAAAACTGTGGCGATTTGCATTTCAGAGAGTCTGTACCAAATGAACAGGGACCAGCTGCAGAAGTTCGTACAGTACCTGCTTTCGCAGCATCATACAGAGGTGCTGGCGACCGCTCAGCACCTGGCCGACGAAATCCTCCGTCGCGATTCAGACATCAATTCGATCATGGGTAAGTACATCGTCGGGCGACCGACCAAATCTACTGTTCACCTCAGTCACGAACCTGCCTCGACATGTGTATAATTTTCAGGAGCTCCAGACCCGACTGCCGGATCGAACGTTAATGCCGACCATCGGTGGTTCCTAGACGAAAGCCAGATCTGCTCCATGGTCCGCAACTGCATGTCCCAGGTATCTTGCTCCGAGCAGCTGCAGTCGCTGTTTGGCAAGGTGCGGGAGATGCTAAGTCAAGGCGACGCGAACGGACCTCGAATACTGCGGCTGATCACCGACCAGTTTTTAGCCAACCATTGCCTTAGCTCAATTCGTTCTACCTCATCTTACCAGTCTCCGCAGTTGTCTGAAAAATGCCAGCAGCTTTGGGATCAGCTCGGTGAGTTACCATTTACTTGTTGAAGCTCGGCGGTAGACATCACCTGGTTCTTTTTCACTGACCGATGCATTTGTTGCAGGCGCTCTGTGGGTGTGCATTGTGTTGAATCCGTACTGCAACGCCGAACAGAAAAGCGAATGGCAGGAAACGCTGAAGCGATGGGTCAATACGCTGACGTGTCCTCCGGAAAATGCCATCTGTCTAACGAATCAGCTCTTCTGCGACGAACACGGTACGATTGTATAGTTCTGATTGTCTTTTCACATGATTAAAGTTTGTGAAGAGTAGGGGCTCAAGACTATTTCTGCAGGAGTTGATACAGTAGTTATAATTACCTGGTAAAACCGGAAGTGACAACAGAAACAGACTGCGTATGGCATACAAAGTAAGGACCATAGGGTAATAAAATGCGGCATACTCAAGAACCATGTCGTACAGTATTTGGTAAGAAACTTGATAAAGAAAAAGGAAGATGATCGATACGGCCACGAAACAGCGAACAATAAGCCAAATGAACAGACGGGATGAAACCTGTGCAGTCAGCTCAGCTTGGCTATGGTTGTTACGCCGTAACGCGTAATGATAAGCCTGATCGTTTTTGAATTCTTCATCACCGTATTTTATACCTGTAATTCACAAATAACTCACCTGTGCTTGCAACCTCAAATCAAGAAGCTTCCATTACACCTCCGATGCAAATCAAGGGTCATCCATACAGATTTCGACCCGTTGCTAACAGTACGATAGATAAGCAATAATTTGTTTCCCTTGTATATACTCCACCTTTCGACCGATTCTGTGTTCTGGTCATCATAAGGACAAATTATCTGGCATCATCTTGCAGCAAATGGCATAGAATCAAACTGACGATGATATGTACATTATAATAGAATAAGCAATAAGATATACAGTTAGCTAGGTCTGTTACTGTATATCATGAATAGGGAACTCTTGATTTTTAATCACGAAGCACTTAATTATGTTTATCGAAGGCATGCATTATAAAAGATGACCATTGTTCGAAGTACAGGCGGTTAAGCAAGAATTCCCTGTGCGCTTATCGCTCAATCAAGGTTCAGCACCGAGCCGTTTTCTGTGCTTGATGCCGATAGAAGACATTACTAATAGTCTGCACGAAGCAGCCCCGTACTGAATGCTTTAAGCGGATGACGCGTAGTGCTGAGCAGTGAAACGAAAGAAGCAAAATCTCAGGCATGCAGGAGCCGTTGAAATCAAAATTGTCTTCGGTTCAGCCAAGGCAAGTCAGAATATATGGCTGGCTATATGGCTTTGGAAGGGGGGTCACATGGAGAAAGTCAAAGAATCAATGAAAGTACTGGAGAGCATGGTTGCTCAAACCGAAGAATTCAAGTATGTTGGTTCCATGCTTTAAGGCAATGGATAAATGTTTAATGAATGAAGAAATGATCAGAAAAAGGCGATGTTCAAAGAGCGACGTACGTTAGGAACTTTTCATTTTCCTTTCCTCAGAGTAGAGGGTGCCATTTATGATTTGTGTAAGAGTTGCTTTTGATCACATTTTGTGTCGCTTTGGTTTATTTGATCTTGAGCTTGCTGCAAGTTTCGGAATTTCTCATCACGTTTAACAGACCTATGAACAGCTCCGTACTTTTATTCTCAAGTACATATCTGAATATCGTTAATCCCTGCTGGTGTTCCACGCAATAACAAACCAAAATGTATCCGCCGTATGGCCTTTCTCTGCTGCTGGGGTCGAAATGCAACAGGTTTGCGGGTTGCTAGCAAAGCAAACGTTCGTTCAATGAAAATTGTACATAATGAGGAGTCTCAAGTGGATAAAGACACTAAGCTTAGTTTTAATGAACCTCATTAATAATCTACGGAAGTAGCTGTCGTATGACGTATGTCGTAGATTGTTCATGGTTGAGGACACTGAACAAGTGAAAATGAAAGTTTGTTCTTGAACAAGATTACCTAAGTATCTTGTTTTTCAACAGCAACATCACTTGGCTACATTCTGGTTGTCAGAATTGTGTCCTGACGATGTTACTACTTTGCAACGAGCTGTAACATGTGTGTTGTTTAGTGGCCTCAGCTATGAATCGGCTAACAGCAAGCCAAAAGTCAGAAATTTCATGTCATATTTATTAAATGAATATATGTAATTTATTACTTTAAAGTTTTGTTAACACTGACCAATGCGCAGTCGATAACCAATACGAAGTAAGATCTTGCATATCATTGATGAATCACTGGTAAGCCAAATGTGGTGTTATTGATCACCACATTTGGATGATAACTTTCGTTGGTACGCGATTTTACGATTTGATTAGCGAGGAAATTTATATGTGCTTCTGGTTTATGCATAAATCCCATGTTATGCTATAATTAATTTTATTATTTCGTCTAATAG